ATACTTTATGAGTATGAATCTATGCTAACATTGAAACACGCAATAGCCCATCTTCTTCCTGTTCTATTTCATACATTCATTCTGGTTTGTTTCCATTTTCGCTAAGTGACGCAATGCGAAACAAGGAATTCGAGCAAAAATCTTAAGAACAAGATTTTTGTAATTCACAAACTTATGAAGAAATAAACTCGCGAAATTTTATTATTGTAAGATGATAAAAAATGATGAAGTAGCCATTTATTTAAAAGGGTTTACATTAATTTAAACGAACAAAAATTGTAAACAATTCGAAATAAAACAAAATGACAAAAATAGCACTAAAACTTTAAAAGCAATTTTTGACTCCTAAACGAATTCAAATTCAATTCAATTCTTCAAATCAATCCATTCGGCCATCTGTTATACATCACTAAGCATGTACTTGTTCATTAGGTAGGGTTTATTGTGATATTGAGTGAGTTTTAAACATAAATTTTATGTAGTTCTTATTATCCTTTTCTCGTGCAAAATATCGAATTTGAACTCGACTGGTAATTGTAAACCACATGCCACATTTACACAATAAATTATAAATTTATAAGATTTATATAAAATTATATGTACAGAAAGTTACAAGACACAAATTAAAACATCTTAGAGTCGTGCATGATTTGTGCGTGTCAATGTATATACATAGACATTTGATGTTTATGTTTAAAACAAGAGAGAACGAAAACTAGGTTTAAATATGGTAACTGTTGTTTATTGATAAATCATTATTATACTCCTGCAACTCTAGTTATTATGACTATTGTATCATTTGCAATCCTAATTCTTTTCTATGAATATGGGATTTTGGTTCTAAATAAAATACACACGTCTAGTGACTTTTTTACTTTCTTCTTTTTTTCTCAATTTTATAATATATTATCAGTACGATACGCTTTAATTTAGACCTTATTTGGCCCTCTTTATAATGACAATTCGGGAAAAACAATGAATTTTTGAATAGTAAATTTTGGAAAATGTGTGGTAAAGAAAGAATGAAAAGTTTTGAATTTACGTGTAATATTATTTTATTGAAGAATATGTGGTTGATAAGAAGATAGAAAAAATGAAGTACAATTTTAATGGGTGCCAAACAAGGGCTCAGAAATTCTAATTTTTGTTTTACAAGATCCGAAGGTAAGAAAAAATATGGGGTATGCCTTATCACTTGAAACCGACATGGAGGAATTCTGACGCCACCTATAGATTGTGCTCGTCATTATCCTATTTTTATGTTTAAATTTTTTATTTGTAACAGTTATGATTGCGATATTACTTGTGCACATAATAATTTTTTTGAAAATTTTTATATTCCTAATGATTGAATAGCGATTTCGATATATGTGTCCATCACTAGTATATTACATAATGCGATTACTTGTGCATAATTATTTGAACAGTAATATATTATTTTATGTACACATCATTATTTGTACAATGTTACAACGGCTGGCAATCATTATGTGTACCAATTTTAAATATTATGATTATGCCAAATGTTTTTATTTACTATGCATGAAAACTATTAATGCATATGTCTAATGATGCTTCATTGTGAAAACTTTAATTCATAATGTATCACATTGTTGCTCTTGAAGAAGCAAAACACAAAAATATCAAAATTTGGCTAGAATACATGTTCTCGAAGAGTTAGGGTCCGTTTGATTCCAAGATGAAATTTGGGTGGAAAGAAAATGAATTGTAGGGAATTGAATTGCCTAAAACTTGTTTTACTGAAAATTGTCAATTAATTGTGTTTGATTGGTATAATTTTTCAAATGAAAACACTACAACAAAAAATACCTTTTGCAGCGCCCAAAAAACGCTACAAAAAGTCTTTTGCAGCGTTTTAGCATGTGTTGCGGGGGTTAGTGTTGCCGTGGAAGGAAGAGATACGGCAACGTTTAAAAAACCCTTCCGCAACGTTTTTTAAACGTTCCCGTATTCTCATCCCAGTTTTGACAATATTTTACAAATGTTGTCGTTGGTATTTTTAATAATTTTTTAAATTAATTTGCATTTTTATATATATGCCTTCCTATGCTGCCGAAATAAATATCCAATATATAAAGAGAAGTGACAAAGACATCAAAATAAATATAAAAAATCACGATTAAAATGGGAAAAAACATTGCATTGAAATTAAACCATGCTAGCATATACATTGCCCAATATTCACTCCATTATACACGTTTTTAAATATCAACCCAACAAGAATAACATCTTTTCCATCATTCATCAGAC